TGATTCAGTCATGGTAAAATAAGGGAAAAGCGGTTAAGGGATTAGCTGAGAAAGACCTGAGGGGTAAGATTATAATTAATGTCACTTAGCATGTTTTTAGGGAAATGAGTCAGATCAAACAGTTGTGCTGGGAAGACAGCAAGATACACCGATAAAGGCAACCCCGTTGATACACAATATGCAGATGTTTTCAAGGCGGTAGATTCAGTACCTCATTACACCGATCAAAACTTCGCACAGCGCAGTGAGATGGGAGCCCACATAAACTGGGTTTATAGGTGGCTAAATGAGGGCTCCCAGCACCTATTTGCAAAGCAGAAGCCGTGGCTGAGCAATTGTGCTTCGCTCCTCAGAAGTGAGCACCAGCTGGCAGTGGGCTCGTCAGTGCTGTGCGCTGTGGGTTCCTCTGAAACTGCTTCTGGGCAGCCACGCTGTGCTCAGCAGGGCCCTGCTGTGGGGCAGATCCCTGTGCCATGGGAGAAACTGTGAGGAGCCCGAGGACCATGATAACTCTAGCACAAAACCATAGGTAAATGGACCACAGCTTCTCCCCCAGATGGTTTTGAAAGAAAATGCCCTCTTTCTCTGCAAAACACTGGAAGACTCTGGTTGATAGTCCATGCATGTGGGCAAATAGCTCAAGGAACTTGGTGCAAATCAGCTCAGAGGGTCTGATAGCCATGGACTGGCTTTTCTTGGGCAGAGAAGCCAACTTGATTCCCCCTGACTGAGGCAGGAATGCTCCAGAAAGATATTTTCAAAGTCTCCTTACCTAATTTGGTCAGAACTTTGTTGATTTCAAGTTGGAAACAGTTTGGACATAAGATTGTAACACAACAGGAGTTCCCCCTGCTTTCCTGATGAGGCTGAAATTTGTTTTGCTTAAACTTAACAGAAGAAAATTCAGCAATTGGATAAACCAGGCATGTTTTTTGTCAGAAGGTTAGTATGGGCAATTGTAAACAAGAGAGTTGAATTTAAACCCTTATGCATCCTAAGCAAAACAAGCATTAGTGATTCAAGAAAACTACATTTTAGATGATGTATCTTCTGCTTAGCCTCAATTTTTCAACTACTTTCTTTTTTTTTTCCCCTAGAAAGAGGCTCAGTGTAGGCACATATTTCTTTGCTTCCAACAATCCGTGTCCAGGAGCGCTGAGCAGAGGCTCAAGAGACTAAAGGGAATTTTGGAAGGATTTTTCAGAATGAATCTTGGGTGCTTTCTCAGGTACATTTCTCTTTCAGTAATGATAAAGAAGTACCACAGTGGAACATTTATTCTGACCTGTGGGGAATGTGTCATGATTTGTTTCCTACTTGAAGACTGATGAAGCTGCTAGCATGTGAAACTCCAGTTGTTGGCCATGCTGACAAAAAGGGAATTTGTAGTTTTTAAGAACTGTCATTAATCATACCTCGTGTCAGGGAGGGAAGAGTGCAGCAGTGCCAGCACATTTCTAAGGAAAACTGACAAAAAGGGGAGGGGGGCTGAAGAATTGTCTGTGCCTGGCTGTGTGGGTGTTTGGTGCTGTGCCACGTGGGTGGAGTGTGCTGGTGTCCCAGGTAAGGGGAGAGTCCCAGGCAAATACAGATGGGAAGTTGAGCTGCTTGCAGAAGGTAACTTTCACAATGCATGTGCCTTTGGGAGAGGTGTGGAAGGTGGAAGCGGGTTGTTTGCCCAAACTTTTCATTCCTTTTCTTCCCAGGGTCCATGCCAAGACTATTTTGTACTTGTGTACCTTAAAATTATTTTTTAAGTGCATCAAATTAGTTTCCTAATACATTTCAATTGTCAAATAATGTCTGTGAGGGATATGAAGTGTAGCTGATGACAGAGAACATGCAAGATTTATGTGCTGTCATTAGCCATACATGGAAGTTTGGTGCTGTAAGCCATACTCAGAAGCCTTCTGTCTAATGCAAACAGTCTATTTCTTCTACCTGTTGGTAAGTAGATAAATAGACATGAAAAAAATAAGAAATAGCATAAACAGAACCATTCCAGGCACAGATCTACACTAAATGTTACAGACATTTGCATTATTTATTATGGGATAACCATGAATAATCTCTGAATCTCTGCCATGAGAAAAATTCAGCCAAAACTAAATTTCAAGCTCTATATAAAAAGAAATCATAAAACCTGAATGCTGGTACTTTAACAGTAGCATTTGAGCTGAAATGAATGGCTATAAATTACTCCAAGCAAATTTAAAACAGATGCTAGAAGATTTTATTCACTGAAGAATAAATTTCTGGAACATTCTTGCACCTTGGAATGTAGGTGCTACCCAGGTTGAGTCAAACATGGCACAAAGGAGGCAGAAAATGTGGGTATGGTATGTCATAAACTCATAAAAATACATCTGATAAACTGAGAAGCTGATAGACCTGATGATGGGAGAATGATGGGCTGGGGAGTGTTTCAGTTTAGCCACAGAATTTCTGCCAGACTTGCTCCTCTATGCAAAAGCAGGCAGAGAAGGAGCAAGCAGGAGGTAGAAACCAGGTCTGGCAATATCTAGTCAGGTCCTTGTGTCTGTGCAGAAATGTCACAGCTGCAGAGCGCTCTATGAAAGGGTTTTGTGAGGCAGTGTCTACCAAACACAGGAGAAGAACAAGTCTTTAGTATTGTAAAAAATCTGCAAGTTACAGTGATCTCCAAGGCTTTCTAAAAATATTCTTTTGTCTCTGAGAGACATCTCTTTCCTGCGAATACAACTCGGTGTGATGCAACCGGCTCGCTCAGATCTGGGTCAGGTTTGTTAAGGAAGCTGATTTTCTGTAGTTACATACACCTTGTTAAGGGCAAACATGTGCTCCCCCTGAGATTGTGATGGAAACTTGCTGGTTGCCTGGGTGTACCCCTGCACCCTTATCTCACTGCTCTGCCTTTTCTCTGAATCGATGATGCCCAAATACTTGGTTCTTGGAATTTCTCCCTCAGTGTGGCATTTTACTCTTTGACATTTCAAGCTTGTTCCATGTGTATAATAATTTTGTTTCAGTTATTTCTATTTCTGCTTTCACTTTCCTTGATGGTGTTCTGGCTGTTCTGTATGTTAGAATATGGAACTTACGTGCCTGGTTTTATTAGGTATTCTCAGAAATTGCACATTTCCTCTTTATCCTGCTTACAAGGGCCTTACTCCTAGTTATTCCATCTTTAACCCAAATATTTTCCTGCTTGTATTTACATCTTTGTGAACTAGTTGGGCTTATCACTACAACCTCTGGTATTTCAACATTTTCTTTTATATCCGCTCAAACAATGTCAGCTGCTGTTTTGATGATATTGTTTGGCATGTTTATATATTTGCTTTTTGTCTTCTCTGGTCTTTACTGAAATAGTTTTAAATGGGTTGTTTAGTATCATATAATCTGTGCCTTTTAAAGACCTTTGGGATTTTGATTCAGTTGTCACTCAGATATTTCTTTTTCAATGAATCACAAGTTTCTGATCATTAATAAATAGTTCTGATTAAACCAATCAACCAACCAACCAAGCAACCAAAAAACCCAAAAGCCCCTACACCCCACAACGAAACTCTCAGGGTGGGGGGGAAAATCCTACTTCCTCTTTTTATTCTGAATTCTCTCTGAGAAAATGGCCATTTTTTCCTATGGACACAATGTTCTTCCTACCTTTGCACTGGCATTTCAAATCAATGTTCTCTTTTATCTCCCTCTACAAAAGGCAACCAATACTCCCCAAAGCAGTGCCATTCTTTTAATGGCCATCTCTTTTACTGGTCTAAATGATTTTCATGTATGACAGAAAGTGCTGGTTGAATCGGATCTTTTTCAGGATTTCATCAGTATCTCATAATTTTTAAAGCTGCCATGTTATTTACATAGTGCTGCCCCAGAGAGGTTGAAACTCTGCTTTTATTGTGATTTTTCTGTACCAAGGTCAGTGATTTTCATGTAACATCTCAAAGTTATAAAATCAGTTAGGTTGGGAAAGACCCTTAAGATCATCAAGTCCAACCATAAACCTGACATTCTCAAGTCCAGCATTAAACTAAAAGTGTCCTAAGTGCCACATCTACATGTCTTTTAAATACTTCCAGGGATAGTGACTCAGCCTCTTCCCTGGGCAATCTCTTCCAATGCCTGATTACCCATTCTATGAAAGAAATATTACCCAATATCCAGTCTAAACCTCCCCAATAACTTTAGGCCATTTTCTCTTGTCCTGTTGCTTTTTACTTGGAGATGGGACCAACTTCCACCTGGCTGCAGCCTTCTTTCAGTGTGTTGTTGAGAGTGACAATGTCCACCCTGAGCCTCCTTTTCTCCAGCCTAAATACTCCCAGCTCCCTCAGCTCTTCCTCACAGGACTTGTGCTCCAGACCCTTCACCAGCCTTGTTGCCCTTCTCTGGCCTCACTCCCACACCTCAATGTCTTTCTTGCACTGAGGGGCCCAAAATGAACACAGGATTCCAGGTATGGCCTCACCAGTGCCTGCTGGCCACACCATTGCTTACACAGGCCAGGTGCCATTTGACTTCTTGGCTACCTGGGCACAGCTGGCTCATGTTCAGTTGACCAGAACCTCCAGATCCTTCTCTGCCAGGCAGATTTCCAGCCACTCTTTCCCAAGACTGTAGTGTTACATGGGGTTTTTGTGACTCAAGTGCAGGATCTGGCAACATCTTCCACTACCTTGATGTTTTCTTCTATATTTAATGGGACTTGAGATTTCCATTTTAAGGACTCAAATGCATTGAAATCCTATTATATATGAATTTCAGGTAACAAAACCTAACAAACAGTAAGCACAGCATTCATGCTGCTATCTTTTATTCTAGCTTTTGACTCGGGCACTGTCCCTGAAGGAGTATGTGAATGTCTAGCAATGATACAACACAATAACCTGTCAGCAGATATTTAACTGTTGGATGGAACATAAACTTCCATTGCAGCATTTATAGGAGGCTGGATAGGCTCTCTGAGGCATGAAAGGACTAAATGTAAAGCTCTGAAGATCTTCAGGTAAGATCAGCATATTTTTATTCATGCTTGAGAGAAGGGATAAAGTTGGCCTCATTCTTCCTGAGGGGAAGACAGCTCCATGTTCTTAGTTTTCAGAGTGTGTGCTCACATGTGGGTGTTTCTGGAAGGGGAAATAAGAGAATGTATAATGATGGTGAAGGTATATAATCACAGATACAGTAGAGCAGAATTTCCCAGTCTCCTGTCTCTGGGCATTTTCATCAACAGTGGCAACACTGGTCATCACAACCAGTAGAAGCAGGCACAGAAGCACCTTTCTTCTTCATCCATTGTCCCATGCCTACATTTCACCAGAGAAGCTCTGGTTTGGTATCCAGAATTTCAAACTCACTGGAACAGGAGAATTTCTAAGTGTAGAAATCTAGTAGATCCAAGTATCTGCAAGTCTCCTGCATAGCTGTCCCAGCTGGAGGGGGCTGTGTATCTGGAAATCAGGGTGGTTTCAAACACACACCTCACACAGTTGCTGGATACCTGTCAAGTAGAGCTCGTGCCATGAGGATGCACTGGACTCAATTACCTTCTGTCTGCTACTCAGCTAGTGGAGCCTGAACAGCATTTTAAGCAAATTCTGGGCTTCTTACGCATATATGACTTTGATTCATACCTTAATAAATGCAGCATGATTAAAAAGGACAGGCTTACTACTCACCCACACCTACGTACATCTGGAAAATCCCAGACTACAGTGGGAGGCCACTCAGGCTCACATGGCACATCTGGAATACAGGCAGGGATCCCGTGGGATTTGTGGCTGGAAAGCCTCATGCAGTGGAAGGGGGGAGGGTATTAGAAGTTCCTAACTAGAGGCACTTTGAAGATGCAATGTAGGGCCTTTACTGGATACATTTCCATTGCAGCTTCTGCAGGGAAGCCCTGGATAGTTTGGATATGTGTGATTACAGACCCATGCACGAGCTCAGCTAAAAGATGGTGGGTAGGAAGAGCAGTGGCCACCTGAGGGCTGGGTGGCTTTAGATGACTTGGAGGGAATGATGGGAGAAAGTGTTAGATAAATGAGGGCAGGATTACTGCAAAATGTAATGGGCAGACTAACAAACCAAGAGGAAGCCTTGTGTTTGGATAAGTAAATCTTCCATTTCCACTGGCTTGTCTTTCAACTCACACAGAGGTGGATGGAAAAATCCCTGTCTTACCAGTACTGACAGGCAGCCTGATGGCTTCACAGGGTAGCAAGGATGAGCACAATGCTTGGGTAACAGCACAGCAGCTTTCCCAGCTGCACATCACTCTGCAGCTGGCTGAATAAATGAAACAGACTGACAGACATTTATTGGCTGAGCATTGCATCCATGAAACAAAGTCACGTTTTTTCCCACTGTAGCTGATGATGGTGCTCCTGATCTGGCTTTTTGGGTTCATTTGGAAGAAAGGAGCATTGGTACATGAACCTCACAGTGTATCCTGTGAACTGACAGCTACTGCATCTGGTCAAATTGTCTCGACGCCTTCAGCTTCACCCTCAGGCTTGAGTCAGCCTAGGAGGTCTCAGGTATAAAGGTAATATAGGTAAAGCCTGGAAGAGCTGCAATTTGTGTAGAACCTTTCTTCCCTCCAGATCTGTGGCTGGGCTAAAGAAGGGAGTTAACAATGTGAGAGCTGATGCTGTTATTTTTACACCAAGTGGTATACTCTCTTGTAACAGCAGAATTCTTCACTGACTGTTCATGGTCCAAGGCTCATTCAGTAGCATGTGCTGAATGAGAACATTTTACCCAAAGACTAAGCTTGCCAAAGGATTTGCTTATCAGCTTGTTGTAGTTCTAAGGCAGTTTATTCTTTTTTTTTATTATGTCCACCTTTCTTTTTTTATTCTATGTCTACCTTTCCTTCATGTTTTTTCTCTTTCTAAAGTGAAACATCTTTTAATTGCTCTTTTGGTATTGAATGAAAATAATGCAAAACTATCAATAACACAATGAAAAAATGTTAGATGGCAAGATATGCAGGGGCCCTTCAGTTTCCCACATATTTATGACTGACTTTCTTTTAATAGAAAACATTTTTTTTTCTTTCAACGTACAGATATAGAATAAAAACACTTGAAAGCAAAGAGTGAAATTGGATCTCATTAAAACATGGAGTTAGTGAAATGGTGACAGATGGGCCCTGCTGGGAAGGAGAAGATCGTTGAACGAGACTGGGATAAGTTAGTGACTTTGCAATTATAAAGCATGTGGCTTTGTAATTTCTAACCCCCAGTTCTGCAAAATAATCAGTGCAGTTGGGCCCATATGCCTGCAGGGAGGCTCATTGAGACAGGCATGAAGATCTGCATAGAGGAACAGGGGACATGCAGATATTCCAAAACACAGCTGCAAGGGAGTGAATCTCTCTCTTTTCCAGCCAAATTTTAATCTGCCCTCTCCAGAATGGAAGAACGCTTCACTATGAAATATGAACTTGATTTTCACACTCTTCCGTAGCGCTCACCAGACTAGGGATGGAATTTTAAGAAAAACATGACCCTTTCAAACATTGATTGATCTGCCACTGTTAAATGTTGTCCGTCTCAGTATGCTTGTGCCCATGGGTGACAGCTTTTTCTAATTATGTTTCAAAGAGGACTCTGACTTGTTTTTTATTATGTTGAAAATCTTTATCTTGACTCATTTCTGTAATAAACTTCTGGCACTGAGAAGCTATAATTTATTTACTTAGAAATTTCTCATCTCTATTATCGTAAAGATGTCTTAACAATCCTATTTTTAGGATTGCACAAATGGGGCATAAATCCTGTTTTTCTTTTAAAGCAGATTCTGTTAGGATGTCGAACATCAAATGTGTGAGATTTGTGTCCATCTGAATGATCAGCTTGGTTTTTATTTCCAGGGACAAGCTCAGCCATCAAATCCCACCATATGCAAACCCACACCACAAAGCAGGTGATATATTTATTATGCAATCTCTTCCATGCATTTAATAAGCTGCAATAATTCAGGGATGGTCTTCCCAGTGCACACTACAGGCAACTATTTGGTTTCAAGGTTTTGAAGCTGTGCAGCTGTTGGCTTTTTTTCTGACTACCCCTGGAAAACTTATTCTCACTTCTAAGCCAAAGAATGGCATTACTGCCGCTGATTCCAATACACACTCATAGATATCACATTTTCATTTACAATCTGATATTTATGCCCATTTTGTGTCTCTTACAGAGAAGTTGCCATGAGTAAGTTCAGTTTTCATAGCTGCAAATTTTCTGGTGTTGTCTAATACACTTTCATGGTTCCCAAATTTCTTTTTGATGTGCAAGTCCTTTCATGCCTTAGGGAAGCACAGAAGAAAGCATGGAAGTACTTGAAACATTAATAAATAGGTGCTGGGGGCTGATATTATGGGCCAACTGGGTGCAGGAGGAGCTGGTGTCTTGGTGATGAATCAGAAATGCTAGGAGAGGGGGAAGGCATGTCAGGAAAGATTGGGAAGATGCAAAGCTTGAAGTGACACAGCAAGGGCAATCACAAAGCAAATGCCTTTCCAGAAGCACTCTGAATGGACATCAAAGGTGCAATACTGCTTTTTTCAGAATCAGAGATAAGGAAGCATGACAATACCTAGGTGGAATAGTTTGGCTGAGGTGATGGATCAGAAAGTTCCTATCTTTGATATGTTACACAGAAAAAACTCAGCAAGGTGTGAGTCAGAAGTTGGATTTGAGGACATAAGGAGAATTCAGAGCAGGAGACCTTACATGGGATGTAGGTCTGAATTAGGAGAAGAGTGTGTTCTCACCTCAACTGAAATTGGAATGAGGAGAATGAGATTAGGACAGCACTAATCATCCTGCTATAGCTGCATTAGGGATGAACAAGGCTAGTCTTCCTCATAAAGTTATAGGGTAAGTGTTGCTTGGAACAAAATGGGATCTGAATTGCAAAGGTCGATTCGTGATAATTATTTTGCTAGAAATAATAGTAAAATGTATGTTTACATACATCCAGCAACACAGAGAGGAAGCTGTAGAGAGCAGGGCACTGGGCCAAAGACCAAAGGTTTGTGGCAAAGCTTGGCTGAGGGTAAAGTCTTTTTCAGAGAAGCTGTGTTTGGAGGGATAGGGGGAAAAACATAAAGACAGTCACAGGAGCCTCTAGTGAGTCTAGAGTCTAGATTTCATAAAGAATGTGCTCTTGGGACCCCAGTCACCATTGAGACCAGGAGAATATGAATGTTATTTCAAGCTACATCATATTTTCCATGGAACCTGGAAAGACTGGACAGTTTTGGAGAGAAACTGAATAAGAGGCTTCACAAATAATGAATCCAGATTGTGTGCCCAAACTGTGATGCTAGAAAGGATCACTGCAGTTTCAAGAAGACAGAAATAGTACATTGATATGGATCTGTACTTCTACAAGACTTATTTTGTGTACCTTTGAAAAATGTGAACTGCCCTAATAGCTTTCCAGAAATGCTGGCTTGTGGAAATACAGTGACTTTAGTACTGATGATCAAACACTTTTGGACCTCAAGTTCCCAGTTACATTAGCAATTGATCAAAGTCAAGGCAGTGAGTACAGGAATTCCTGGTTCTTGTGAAAACCTTCAGGTTTCAGCTCAGGACACTTTCTGAGAGTTTTCTGGGCATCTGTGATAAAATACTAATAGATGTAAAATCTATATAGTGAAGCACAGGCTCACAAAACCCAACTCATTCAATATCATTCTATATTTAATGTTGTTCAGCTACAGAGTAACACCACTGCAGCGTGGAAAATCACTGGCAAACTTACAGGGATATGCATATTACCCAAAATGACAGAACCAAAGGATGAAAAATTACTATTAGACTTCGGTAAGAAGTAAGGAAGTCAAAACAAGCACAAAATTGTAGAAGTACAAAACTTCATCATGGTTTAGACACAGACATTTTAGAATTTGGAAAGGTCATCATAAACTAAAAAACCTACAGAAATGTCACTTTCTTCCAATAAGCTAAACACAAAGAAACATTTTATAGAGAAATTGAAAGCTTCTGCTTAGTCTTTTAAAGTAAAGGAAAAACTAGCAGTTGGCAGAGAAGAGTGAAGCAAAGGGCAAAAAGACTGAAGAACAAAAGTCTCCATGGACTCATCTTTGTTTTCTAGACTATGTGTAAAAGCAATTTAACAAGTGAAGACATGAACATATTTGAAGATAATTTACTTTACCAGATCAAAACTAGAAGACAGTTGAAATGGCCAGCAGACCAGTTAAAGCATGTTGGTCCCATTCTAACATTAAATGTTGGGTTTAGTTGCTGTACTGACTGGAGCCATTCTAACATTAAATGTTGGGTTTAGTTGCTGTACTGACTGGAGCGCATTGTAGTATCATTGATAATACAGCTCTTTCTGTACATCCTCTCTTTAGTATTTCTGTCCCACACTGGCTTTTTGGGTTTTGTCACCTCATGGCAGTTTCTCACTTTCTTCTTCACCAGTGCAATATGACTGAGCAAGGCCCAGCTGTCTGCTGCAGGGCATTGCCACGGGTCCTCTTCGTAGAAAACAGAGAAGAGGAAGCAAAATCAGTAGTTGGAAGAATTTAGCTGGATGGAGAGATGGGAAAGGCCAAAATCTCCGATGTGGTACACAGTAAGATCCAGCAAGATGGGATTCATAGCTTGGTTGTGAAGACATAGCATGGAAGTTAAACTTGTCAAGGTCTTCTTTACCTTGAGCAGTTAACTTCAACTAACTTGATTTGCCCCAAGTGTTCATTAATCTGGATTTTTTTGACACACCCACACCTGTGCCACTATATTGACTCTCAGGGTATTTTTTGTTAGCTCAGCTGCTTTCCTTCCCTGGAAACCTCCCAAAGTAACCTTTCTTGAGGGCTTAATTTTCACAGTAAACCACACTCAGATGAGAAGCTGAGGACTAATCATTATTAATTCAGCATGTCTAGTTGGTCTCAGACTTCTTTTTCCACAGGCCAGCGTAATTCCACAAATTCAAAACATATAAAGCAAAGTATAAGCCAGAAAACAAACCTAAATGCCTGAGATTGCTTCTGTCAAACCTGCATTGCTCAGATTCCAGCTGCTGTGACAGGGATCAAGGGCACCCCACTCAGGGGCATCGGCAGCATTTGTGGTACTTGAAACCACTCTTGGCTCTGTGTCTGCTTCATCTACCTGCAGGACATGTCTCAGTGCTTTCTCTCTCACTCTCTTAGTGTATTTACACCTCTAGGTGGGATTCCTCTTCCTTCTGGAGCTTGTCTCAGCAGGAAGGTTTCCTGCAGGGAGCAGAAAAGCCTGCTGCTTCAGTTCAGTTCTCACCCTGTCACTCCTACCTGAACCTGGGGTTGCCGCCTTGCACCTGGGAAGTCCTCTCCAGCCCAGTTAGCTTAACTTCGGCAGGCTGAGCTGACCTGTTCTCTCCCCTGCCTTTATACTTCCTTGGCTGTGATTCAGATTTGGCTGCCAGGTTCACTAAACAGACTGGCCTCCATAATCTGAGAGTACCTGAGTCTCCAGCTTGTTAAACCTTTAAAATGTGGAAGACACCTTACTCTGAAAAAAGCTGCAGGTGCAGCTCATCTCCCAGATTTATGAACTTACTTTTTTTCTGTGATGTTCATGGAATCTGGTTCCTGCAGCTTCCCTGACCAGGCCTTTCCTTCACTTTTCCTTTTGCTTTTGCATGAAAGCCTGTACATGGGGTCCTGTCTTATGCCCAGGATGACTTCGTGGAGATCCTCTAGTCCAACCTCCCTGCCAAGGCAGGGTCACCAGGAGCAAAGAGGTTACCAGGTGCAAATAATAGAACAGGAATGCGTCCAGTTGGGCTTTCAATGTCTTCAGAAAGGAAAACCTCACGGATCTCAGCCTGTTCCAGCGCTCTGCCACCCTCAGTGTAAAGAAGTTCTTCCTCCAGTTGAGGAACACTTCTTGTGTTCAAGTTCGTGGCTCCTCGCCCTGTGGCCTGGCACCATCCTCTTGTCACCCACCCTTGAGATATTTATGTGCGTTAATGAGATCCCCTCTCAGCCTTCTCTAGGCAAAACAGGCCCAGATCCCTCGTAAGAGAGACGCTCCAGTCTCCTCAGCATCTTCGCGGCCTCCCACGGGCCCTCTCCCGTAGCTGCCCGTCCCAGCGCTGTTTCCCCACCCACACGCGCCGGTTCCGCTCCGGGCCCCGCTCCCGCTCCCCGCG